AACCCAAGCCAAGTTGTACCACATTAGCCTGTTTAAATCGGGTGATCTTGATGCTTCTCACAGAAGGTAGTACCAATACAGTCTTTTTTCCTTCAGTTTGATTGTTATTTTGTACACCTTGTGAAAAATCTTAGACTGATGTGTGCTTAAACTGAAATATATTTCCTGAGGACTGTTGTTTGTCAGGGGTGAACAAATTCTTGAACTAAAAATACATCACAGGTGGACCAAACAGGGACAGGTCAGATTTTGTCTTTTCTTTGGTTCTTCATTCCAGGGGTGTGGGGGCTTTTTTCTTTCTTTGAATAGTCTATCAGATGACCCGTGCTAAGGATTTCCAGTGAAGTCTTTGTGAAAGCATCTGATAAATTTTGGTAGGAAGTCATCGGTCTTGCGTTTAGACATCTTGTTTTACTCACTGAGATTTGCAGTTCCTTCAGCAAACAGCAAAAGTGACATCTCTTTGACTGATGCAGCTTTCTTTAATCTGAGCTAAACAATAAAGTTATTTTACATTAATAAATTAATATGACAGAACATGCGGTCCTCTCTCCATTTTATGTTTCACACGTCCTCTCTCCATTTTATGTTTGTGGTTTGGGTCTGTTTTGTTTTTTTTTTTTTCCCCTTCTTAAGGAATCTTACATTGTCATGTAACTGGTATCTTCCCTTCTTTTGTAAGAGTTTGCTATTATTGATTACTTTTATTTTTTTAAGGAACAATACCTAAACTTGCAGGTATCCAGCTGTGAGAGGAATGGAGAGGATAGAGGAAAAAGCTTCCATCTGTTTACCTGCAAGTCTTCTTTCTTTATGTATGGGTGAGGCTGTCGGACTTCTCTGTGAAAGGAGGTCAAGGCTACTCCAGAATGAAATCACATTTTCAGCTGCATTGATGTGCTGTGCCTCCCAGGGTTGTGTGTCTTAGCTGCTGCCTCTTTACGTAGTGAACAAAACCATATGGGTTGTGGATTATTCCCTTTGATGTTACCTTCGTGCATTTAATTGTTAATTAGAGTAATGGCTGAGACACTAAGGATGCCAATGCTTAGCCAAAAAAAAAAATATCTGTGGTTTCAATTAGTTCTTCTGTTAACAACTTAATGTTGCTCATTCGGGCTGATGGCTTAAAGTTAATTTTCCAGAGTTAAACATTTGCAAGTAGAACATCTGTATGTGAATGAGCCATCAGGAGCTTCTTAAGTGTGGGAGTACTTGGGTTTGATAGACACAAGTTGGGCGGATTGCGGAGTGGCGAGGATGCTTTCTCCATTACTCATGAATTCCAGAGGGTGTCTTAGGACAGCGCTCGTGTGCTAGGCATGAGTGCTCAGACCAAAAGAGAATGCTCTTGGGTTAAGGAAGGTTAATATTAAAAGGAATTCAGTAGGTGAACAAATCCAGTGTGTCACTTAAATATATTCTTTGCGACTTAAATAATTACTTAATGCTTAAAAGTTGTAATGCCCAAGAAGTGCAAAAGGGGAGACCTCTGTGTTTATTAAGAAAATGCAAGTAAGGCCTTGAGTTGAACTCATCGCTTACTTTTATGGGAGAACTCATAAGACAGGTAGCTCTCTGTTTTGGAGAGTTAAGAACTTTATTGTTCATAGTCTAAAACCTTAAGGCATCTTGGACATTCTGTTCTCAAATGCCTGGCTCTCTAGACTGCCATTAGCAGTGTTAAAAAAACCCAAGCAAACAAACAAAGCTGCAAACCCCAAATTTTCTCTCTGCTTTGCATACATGTATTTGCTTGCTTAATTATACTGTGAAATGTGACAATGACAACACAAAAGTATGTGACTTCACTATTTACCTGGGTCACTTTTTTGTCCTTCCCGTGTGGGTAATCTTGCAGTACAAGACTTGATATCAGTTTGACACAAACTCGCTTCATACTGTTTCAAAAAGCAATATATTTCCCATGGCCTGTAAATAACTCTTAAGTTTTATGACTGACTTTATCATAGTTCAACTGGGGAGAGGGAAGTGTCACCCTAACTGGCAAAAGCAATGCATTTTACACTACACCGGCCAATTTGTGAATTTTGTTTGCTTTCCAGTTTGCTACTGAAGGCTGAGTCATTCTTACTGTTCTAACAAATACATATTAGATAAGTTATCGCCGCAAAACTGTTTCTCCTCTCTTGCAGTTGATGATAGCAGAAGTTTCAGACTGTAATGTCGAAAACAAGGGCTTTTTTAAGACATGGACAGTGTTTTAGACTCAAATGATTGTGTGGAACACTTCTGACATTGAATACGGCTGCTCTTCATGTGAAGTTGATGGCAACTGGTGTTTCCCCAGACTTTCCAAAAAGTGCTGCTGGTCCTCTTTTTATCTTCAGCAACGTTAATGTTAGATTCCTTTCTTATTTCCCTTCAGCAAAGAGAACAAGTACCCATTTCAGTACCTTATAAAGGATACTATAGCAATAGGATGCAAATTTACGCTTCTCTAACTGCAAAATTAGCTTTTTGAGCAACAGATGACAAGCGAGTGTGCCCTTGGAAACAAAAACCTGTATTGTGCAGAGAGACCTGGGAACTGTCCTAAACTTTTAACTGTTTTTTTTTTTTTTTTTAGCTCAGTGACAGATATTTAGGTCATTTATGTGCCTGAAGACCTTTGCATATCTGAGTTGAACTCTTCATAATTTCAGTGAGAACTGGCATTGCTCTAGGTACTTGGTCTCATTGTTTTCTTCATTCTGAATAAGTTTTAGTAGCTGTTTCATGCAGATGTTGAGCAATAATTAATGTCGGGGTTTAATTCACATGATGCTTCTCAGCAAAACCCCTTAAATTAAAACTTTCCTGTTAGGAATGCTGTTAGAGGATTGGCCCTGGATCTGCTTTCAGCACTGTTTCTCCATGAGAGCTTGATAGGGTTTACGTGGTACGTGGGACTTTTTTCAAGAGGATTGGCTTTCAGTGGAAACCAAATATCTTCCTCTTCCAGCCCAGCTTTGCTTTTGTTTTGTTCCTTTTTTTTTTTTCTCCTTTAGAAAGGAAATTACAGAACCCTTATTACATTATTTCGTATCTTTAACTCGCTGTTTTGATTTTTTGTGGGTTTATCTTCCTGCAGCAAAACTGATAAGTAATGACTTTGCCAAATATTAGGTCACATTACTTGATACATGTAATATGTTTACATAACATGAGACCTGTAACGATGACTACACTAGGATTGCAGTAAAGGGATTGAGAAGCTGAAGTGCCTAATCTCAAAATTACAAGTATTTTTGCACTTTGTAGTTTTGAGTACTTTTCCTGCAGTGTAGTCACTTCCATCTCCTAAGAATGAAGTTTGGCGTGACTTTTAGGGGTTTTTTATAACCACAGTGCTACTATTTGGCAAATACTATAGTCTGATTTCTGCCTAGAAGGAGCTACCAAAAAATTACTTCTTCCCTTAGTAGAGTATATGTGGAAGTAAAGATTTGAAAATGTTTCCTGCTGTAGCAAAATCCATTCTGCTTGCATGTGATATACAAATATTTTACTGATTGAACTGCAAGTACTTGAAACTATTTCTCAGCCCGCTCGAAGCACAGTTTCTTGCAAGTGGTGCAAACTGGAAAGCTTTATTTGTTAACATTTAAAGGGGGGAGGGGAGTTAAAATTATCAGTACAAAGCAAAAAATGCACTGAAACAGTTGATTTGAAATACTTTTAATCTGTTGAGTTACATTTTCACAGTTAACAATTTATTGGGAAAACTATTTGGGGTATTTTTATGTAAGAGAGGTGAAAGAGTTTGCAATCCAGAGGTTGGTCTTTAAATTCTGACTTAACCAGGCTAAATCTAGACAGGAATGATTGAGTTCGAAAGTTTGGGGGATTTTTGTTTTTTCTTTTTAGACAGCAGACATTTGTTGACTTTAGTGCTGCATTGGATTGTTGGTAGAAGCTCACTTCTTTGCTTTTCTTTTAAATTGACGTTACAATTTTTTGCAGATAGGATATTGTCACTGCAGACATCAGAGTACTGTGGTAGCAGGGGATGACGTGGCCTTGAAAATTTAGTTCCAATCTCTTTCAAAAACCTGAAATGATTCCGGTTTCCAGCAAATGCATAAAGATACGGGGATGTGCCGTACAACAAACCGGCCACGTGAACTGATAGCTAATCAAGCTAATCAGGCCATCCGTTGGCAAGATGGCCAGTGTGTTTCACACGCACATCCGCATGTCTGAAGACTCAGAAACCAAACCAACGTCTCGGGGTCTTTCAAGTCAGCTGTGCTAAGTGCAACATGGGAAGTTAAATATACTGCTGTACTGGGAGTCCTTTGATGTCAGAAGGTTATTGCAGATTACCGTTCGGTGTCTGTTTTCAACTTCTCACTTCTTGACTAAAAAGGATGTTTTTGTTGTACATGTAGGCTTGTTTCAACAAAGGTTCAAAGACCTCCTCTGTACAGGACAAAGCACAAGCCCAAGAATGCACTTGCAGTGATTGAGTAAGGTGGGCTAATGGTCTTGTCTAAAAAGTCTCCTAAAAATAAAGTTTGACGCTGCTTTTTGAGGAGGAATTCTTTACATCGGAAACACAGAAGGAAAAAAAAAACCAAAAACCATAAAGACAGCTGTCTGTGAAACTGAGTCTGGAAAATTAGTATTCTTATCACAAGGAGAAGCACATGCTACTTAATTGTACACAAGACGTTTTTCCTCTCTTGTATTTTATTCAAGGGTGGGAAGTCTGAAGAAATAGTCACAACATGGGAGCGGCCCCACCTTCCATACCTTAATTAACAGTGGTGTTCGCAATGTATTTCATGCCTTTGTTGTAGACATCTGTGTTCAAAACCAGTTTTTTAACTAGAAAGAAAACACAGATTAGAAAATTCTTTTCCCATTATTTCTAACTTTTTTGTTGTTGTTGCTTATGTATGAATTACTTAAGAATTAATACAGATAAAATGTAGACTTTTTCCCACAGGCACAGATAAAGTTAATTATCATGTTTGACTCTTTGACTCTAGGCTATGGTGGCTTGCTATCCAGGCAATGGAACAGGATACGTGCGCCACGTTGATAATCCAAATGGGGACGGAAGATGTGTTACGTGTATATATTATCTTAATAAAGACTGGGATGCCAAGGTATGCAATAATTTCTTTCTATAACTTTTTTTTGACATGTAATTGCTAATGCACCTTTGCTACAGGTCTTTGTTCATGTCCTTAGTTCTGTGCCTGAGTTGTGTTCTTGCATGATGTTAACTGTGGGTATCCTTTGCCCCCCTGATTCTGCTGGTGGTGAGAGCAGATAAAGGTGAGGCATTTATTCTCCAGGTTTTGAATGATGCCAGCAGGACCTCCTTGACAGTGATATCGAAGGGAAGTTGCATGATTTTACGTATGCTTCTTAATTATACATAAAAGCGTCTGTTAGTATCCAAGTTTCATAAATATCTAATTATGCAACTTACTGTATGTTATTTGTATGGTAAACACACACCCCCCCACACACATACACAAAGAGTAAATAAAGTTTGGAAAATAATTGCTTTTAGTTTATTTCTCCTTATATTCCTGTTGAATCTTGAATTTACTGTTTGTGCAACTAGATTACTTAATTCAGTATGCTTATAAAAAGAAAGATGCTATAGCTTGGGAGCAGTTTCAGATACACCAAGTGTTACGGTTATTGCTGTCTCAGTCTAGTTCAAAGCAGCACAAGTCTTTCTATCAGTGTAGATATAGGGTGTAGAATAGATAAGGATTTGTAACACAGTTCAAGTGGTCTATGAATTTACTATCAATGACTTGAAACTCTCTGTAGACGTAGTGACTATGATAAAGTAACTTTTTAATAAGGATTTTCCTA